CTACTTATTTCTGTTTGTTTTACAAGTGACTCTTCTATTTATTTCTGTTTGTTTTACAAGTGACTATTTTATGTTGTTCTAAAATGGTATTAATCTTCTTATTTTTACCTGGTGTTTTCCCTTCAAATGATGTAGATTTAAAGATAAATACCACAATATGTTGTTGCTCATCTGATGTTAGTATATTAACTGGTGCTATATATTCATGTTTTTCTATGTAATGTAAAAATATTAGTATATTGTAGCTCATCTGATGGTAGTATGTTAACCAGTACTGTATATACATGTTGTTTTCTATGTAAGGTAGATTTAAAGACAGTATTTTGTGGCTTATCTGATGCCTAACTCTTAATTTGTGTGGATTCTCAAGAACTCCCAGAGACCTGAAATGATATTGTTGTATTTGTAAAGGACCAGTTGAAGATCCTAGAATGCCAGCAAAACTTACATAAGGAGGAGAGTAGGCCAGCATCCCACAGCCTTTCCAAACCTTGCAAGTCTAGTAAGATTTGCAGCATACTGTGATGTCTGTTGCAGCATCATTGTGGGTTTTGATTACCCACTTCCATCCATAATAGCTGATAAAATGTGAATACTTAGTGTTTTTTATAAGAATATTTTTTCATATTTTATAAAATGTAAAATTCCATTTTCTCAAGGTTCTAGTCATTATGGTAAAGTTTTTGTAGGTTTGATTGAATAATAGGCTTATTGTGTATGTGTCTCTTTTATATTTCTAATAGTTTTATGAGAAGATGTCTAGTGAAACCTCACCTTCTTTACTCATTTTCAGGTCTTGCTGTAGTGTTAGTTTCTCATTTCAAAAAGACAAGTACTGGATCTCAAAATCCCTCAGTTTGTTGAGGTTACCTTCTAGTTTAGTCATCAACTCCCTCATGAATGTACATAATGAATATAGTTTTGTGATTGATGTAGAACTTTGTATTGTGCTCTGAACATACATTATCGTACTGTGTAAAGATTTGTGTTCTAATGTGCAAGCCTTTATTGTGCTCTGAATATACACAATGCCAGTGTGTGTATGTTTTGTGACTAATGTAGAACTCCTAATTCTGCTCAGAGTTAGTGTGCTTACTAGCAGTTCTATCTTTTTAGTACCCATTATCTTTCTGTCTTGTAATTGTCTGTTTCATATGACAAAAACAACTGTCAGTTATGACAGCTAAAGTTTGTCTTCAGATGGCTCTGAGTGCTTGTGATATTCCCAATTTTTTTTCCATTTCATCATGTGTTATACAAAAGTGATGTCGATGAATCTCTAGTTGTTTAATTATTTAGGTTAAATTAATTTTATTGGTACATCTTGTCTATACATTTGTATATTGTGATTTATTCATATATTTGAATATTAAACCTAACATTGCACTTGAATATCATTGCATGTCCCTAATTTATGTGGATATCATAATTTGAATATTATCATATGACTGGCATTCCACTTGAATATTACCATATGTTAATAAACTTTGAAACCACAGTATGACCTTGATTTTATTGGACATTGTCATGTGTCCTTACCTTTAATGTAACATTGTATTGGATGTTATTTTATATCCTTACATGTAACTTTGATATCGTTATCACATGACTTTACATTTTATTGGACATTGTCATATGTTCTTACCTTCAACTTACATTTTATTGGATACTACCTACGACCCTCAAAGCATTTGCTGTAGTTTTCATGCCCTTCATTTGAAATTTCCTTATTCTATCATTTTAACACACACCATTTAAGCTATGCTTTCTTGCAGGCATTATATATTAGTTCAATAAATCCTTGTCTATTAATTGGTTGTAATTTTACGTTCAAAGCATTTCTCTGAAATTAACTTTTGGGGACTAGCTTCAAATATTTTAGTGAAACAAAAGAGCATTATAAGGCCCAGCTTATTTGTAGGTTTGCCACGTTATTTGGTTAGACTAACTGTAATGTACTAATTAACTTAAGCAAGTGATGTAATGATGCAGCTCTTTATTTACATTGTTAAGTAGACTGGTTAAAGCAAGGAGGTTCATGTTTACAAAACTAAATACATGTTAAAGACAAAGAGTAACTTAATGATGTAACCCCAAGTTTACATAGTTAAGTAGACTGTAAATTTCATATAGTAATATGTTCATGTATAATGTGAGTACTTAGTTTTAGTGATGGAAATTCACATGTTCTCATGTATTTTTTTTAATGGAGAAAGTGTGTATGCATAATACATAAGAGAAGCCTTTCTGTTTAGTACAAGTTCTGGGGTAGGTTTACATTAATCTTGTTTTTTGCTTATTTTGGGAATACTTCTGATCTAAGCATTAAATTTAATGTTGAAAAACGTTTCCAATACAGGTGTGAATCTAATAAAGTACATTTTTGTGTGCATCACACTTTCCAGCTGAGTAAACTTCCTAGAAGCATGTTGTTTACTTGCACCCAGCTTTTAAATAAATAAAAATTTCCAGTATATGTGGACATTAGCTTGCATAGAACAATAATTATAAGTTTCAAGATCAACATATATTTTAAAATTGGAACATTTGTAGGTTTCATGATATTTTTTCCATAGCATCTTCCTCCTCTTTTAAAGGATGTTTATCGTAATGAAGATCATTGAATATGAGATTTTTCGTTTACTTCATAAAATGGCATGAAATAAATATATTGTATATATGGATTAGCATAGTAATTAAGAAGCTGCACATGTTGTATTATTTTTATCTAGTCATATAAAATTTGTGATGACAAGTAAATGTAGAGAAAAGTATCTTATACAAGGTTTTAAACACAGAAAATTAGAAGTCTTTGTTTTCTCTTGTTTTAAGAAATACTGAGCATTGTAAAAATGCATTTTTAACAAATACTGTTTTTGTATTGAAGAAGAATATAAATGAAGTTAGAAATATTTTAAAAAGAAATTTACGGCGTGCACACACATTACATTTTTAGGGAATTAAACCTCAGAATCTGTAAAAATGTTTTTATTTTATGTAATACATAAATTTAATTTGTAAATTGTTAATTTCTGCCATTTCAATATTACATATGGGAACGTTACTCATCTCTGTTGTTTTAATAATGATTTAAACTGTATGGTTTGTTCATGACAATGTATCAGTTTGTATCAGGGTTATTAATTTAAATATAACAAATATGCAGTTTGAAAGGTTTTGTATGCTAATTAAACATGTATTATTCTAGTCAGATTTTAATAAAAATGCTTAATACATATTTTGTCTTAATGTTTTTAATTATACAAACTTTCCTTTAAAAAAGGGTGTAGAAATTAATGTAAATTTCTAGTAGCGAAACAAAAATAATTAAATGTTTGAAACTATATAGTTGTATTTACATAACCCTTAATGAAGCCCATACTAATGTGACTGATGAATTTTATAACTGGTAGTATAAAATGTAATAGTGAAATATATTTAATAGATTCTGTTTTTAAGAATGCAGAATAGTGTGATGTTTTTAATAGATCCTATTTTCAGGAATGTAGAGTTTAATAGCAAAATGTTATTAATGGATAATAATTTTTTACATGTGGAATTTAGTGGTGAAATGCTTTTAATACATTTCATTTTCATGCATGTATAGTTTAACAGTGAAACATATTTGAGAAGGTGTATAAGTGACACTTTTTTCTAAGTAAATAATATAGATGCTTTACTACCTAAGCCTAATAGCAACACCTTACAAAATAATTCTAGTAGTTACACTTTGTTGAACAAGCCTAGTCAAATAGTGAAACTTTTCTACCTAAGCATAATAGCAACACTTTGCTACTTAAATCTAAGAATGAAACTTTACTACCTTAGTCAAACAGTGAACCTTGACTACTTAAGGCTAATATAGTCACTTTTCTTCATAAGTCTAACAGCAACACTTTACTGAACAAGTCTAAGAGTGAAACTTTACTACCTTAGTCATTTTACTACTTAATACATTAGCTGCCATGTGCCCCACTTTTAGTTGTGAACTGTGTGACATATTACCAGTGGTTTCAATGAGCTAATTAAACATAGTATAGTTACCCACATAAATATTAGACACCTGAGTTATGTAAAAAAAGAAAAGTGTAGTTGATGCTAGGGTAGGAATTATTAATATTACTGGTGGCAGTAAATGTTTTAAGTTTAATGGTGAGACATTACTACATAAGTTTAATGGTGAGACATTACTACATAATTCTAATAGTGAAACTTTACTACCTAAATCATACAATAGTCATAGTTAAGGTGACTGTAGATGTCCAGTATCAGCATTGGGGTTAAGGTGAATGTCAATGTCTTAGATGCCCAAATCTCTGATTTTATAACTTTAAGTTACATCACAAGTGTGTACCATTTATTCTCTATGTGAATACAATTTTTAATGCTACTGTTATAACATATAACATTTTTATAGTTTTTGTTTTACTATTTTACTAGTTATAGACCATAATAATCTGAAATAACTATAATGAAACTTAAAACAGTTTTGCTTTGTAAGGTTGATGATATTTCTTAAAAAAAACAAGAAAGTGCCTTTGAACTTATTCAGTAATTTGTAAAAGATTTCTTGATCCCAATTTTAATTTGAAGAAATTCAGTTTTTACTTAAAAAAACGTAAATTTTATTCACAATAGATAAAGACTACAAAAAATGTTTGAATGATAGAACTTGATCTGTTATTTAAACCAGAAAAGAAGAAAAATGCTTTAAATTTTATTTTCAAACATACAATACTAAAGAGAATTATAGAACTGTGACAACTTAATGCCAGGTGGCTTGTTAACCTGACCAACAACTGTAAAACATAATAGTGACAACTTAATGTAAGGTGATTTATTAATTAGGCCACCATGTAGAACAGAACAGTAACAACTTAAGGAAAGGTGATTTATTAATTAGGCCAACATGTAGAACAGAACAGTAAAAACCTAATGAAAGGTGATTTATTAATTAGGCCACCATGTAAACCAGAACAATAAAAACCTAAGGAAATGTGATTTATTAATTAGGCCACCATGTAGAACAGAACAGTAAAAACCTAAGGAAAGGTGATTTATTAATTAGGCCACCATGTAGAATAGAACTGTAAAACCTAAGGAAAGGTGATTTATTAATTAGGCTACAATGTAGAACAGAACAGTAAAGACCTAAGGAAATATGATTTTTTAATTAGGCCACCATGTAAACCAGAACAGTAAAAACCTAAGGAAATATGATTTATTAATTAGGCCACAATGTAGAACAGAACAGTGACAACTTAAAGATAGGTGATTTATTAATCGTGCCAATATATTTTCAGGTGGTAATAACACATTTTTTTAATGAATTATTGAAAGTTGTTTATAATTTTTGTTCACTCACATGTACAGTTTAAATTCTTATATCTAAGTAAACTGCCTGTACAGTGTATTGCTCATTAAGATTATATATTATTTTTATTGCTTATAGCTTCATTGTTAGTTTTGTGACTTTTAAGTCTCAGTATATAGTAATTCTTAATATTGAAGACAATACATACACTTACTTCATTGTTGATAAGTTTTTACAAAGTACTGTATTGGTATTACCAATTTAATAAAGAAATAATGTGCAATCATTGTTAATGATCAGATTTCCTAACACAGTAATGGATATTATTTATTTACATAAAAAGATTATGTACAACCACCTGACTTCATTATTTATGTTCTTAATACTTTTTCATAACGAAAAACTTATTATATTCAATCGTTAAGAGGTAAGATTGTTTCTCTGCTATTAGAAATTTTGAAGGATCTGAATATTGCAGATAGAATTGTGTACTTATGAGATCCCAATTTGATTATTGAAACATCAAGTTAGGTAGCTAAGTAGTTATTATAAGTAGCAATATATTTTCCATCATTACTGTTTCTGTCACTTTCTAGCCCCTAGTTACAGTAAACACACACATTACTGAGAAGAGAAGACTTTTGAAGTATAACACACTGTTGTTATAACAGCTTTTATTTTCTTCATCAATGTAGTTTCATTGTTTTGTTTCTCTGAAAAACCTTAGAACTACAAAATTTTAATTCTAAACAATCTAAATAGTCTTTTTGCTTCAATACTGTTTTATATATTGCCAAGATGATATCTGAAAAATAACTCAAACATCTGGTAGCAGTCATTCCTTCCTGATGAGACATGGTTCTACCTTAAGTTACCAAAATAATCACAACAGATGTATTTCTTTAGCATTAAGATTTGTCTTGCATATATAGTTGTTGATATAAATTAATTAGCTGGTTTAAGTTAGCTCATTTTGGATCTTTAGAACAAACTATGCTTTCTGCTTGAACACCGATATAACATGTCACTAATCATTCATGTGTGTATTCCATAAAAGTAGCCTTGATTACTGTCATCTCACATTTTCTTCATATCAAATATCGTTAAATACTTGTATTAAAAGTTGCACAATCAGAAAAAAACTGTACTAGTGTCCAAAGTCGCTTATCAATGCTCCTACCCAAATGTATTTATTTCTTAAAGTCAAACCAGTGTTTGGATTCAGACAACAATTAATTCACATAAGTGTTTCTAATTTTTAAAAGCAAGTGAAAAGAACGTACAATTGATACAGAAAAGTCCATATATAAAGTAAACATTACCTAAAATGTGAAGATTAAACAGTTGTTTAAGAACATGAAAATGTTATTTTTGATTTAAATCATATTTTCACATTTAATATTTAAGTATTGCTTATATAAAAATAAAGGATACATTTTTATCTTATAATATGATAGTAAAATATCTTGTGTAAAAACAGAACTAAATATTCTAAGTATAGTTTCTAGGGAAATCCTTTTCTTAGCTGTTGGATTGGTATGTAAAAGCTAAACAAGTAAATATTTAAAAAGAGTCGAATTTTTCATGTTTCTGATTACAAATTTTAACTAAAGTTTGATAATCACACTTCTATCTTTTCTGTTTCAAGATATCAGTCATATTTTAAAAAGATTTTAGTTTCTCTATGATTTAGTCTAAAGAAGAATGCTTTTACATTTTTTTCCATTTAGGTATTTTAAGATTATTTTATTTGTTGTTTTAATACTTAAGGTTTGAACTGCAGTTTGATGATGATCTATTCAGATCAAAGAAAAAATTCTGAGTGAGTCATAGATCTTTTAATAGCAAAACTCTTCAGATGCTGGTCTGTTTCAGTATTTACTAATTCATGTGTGTAACCTACTGTTGAACAATTTACAAAATTATTGTATTATACATAAATCCCAGTTTCAGTCCAAACTCTTTCATCATGACATAGATGTTTAACATACTAGCTATAATGATGAGCTTCTTCTGAAGCAGAAGAACTGGGTCTTTTACCTTATTTAGAATCTTAAACATAAGAATTATGACTATCGTACGTGGAGCCTGAGTGTTGTTGGTCGGCGGCAACTTGGTGAGATCCATCCTGAAATGTTACAAGGTGAACAGTGGGTCGACTGCCATCTACAGGTTCTTGTTGAGCTATTTTTAGTTCATTCCGTAAAAACTTTCTGTCTCTTTGGGAAGAAATATTGTTTTTTGTTTCCAATTTTTGCGTGATACCTATGTTAACTTCACTGTTTTGACTTTGGTAGGAAGCTGAAAAAAGTTTGTTACTATTATTAATGCACATTTAACTGAGCTACTTAAATTATAAGAAGTAAAACATGCACTATATAATTGGAGGGGATTTCTGGTGGCAAGTTTGAATGAACAGATTCAGATATGAGTATATTTTAAATAGTTTATAATAATAGTATTCCAATCACAATATATTTACCATATCTGACCACTACCATGTTGGTTGTATTCCAGTCAGGCTTAACAGCTTTGGATTGAGTGAAACACGTCACTGGGAATGGATATGGCAATATAGTATAGTTGGAATACTCTTCTAAGTCTTGAACATTCCTAAGGGACTAGATAATGAATTTAGTGTTCTAAAAAAATTTAATAGGCCTAATAGTAATATCTTATGATAAGGGTAATAAGTTTGATTCTCTATATTATATTAACAAAGTATTTATAGTGAGAAAAAAGATCTATGGGATTGAGTGGATTATCGTAATACCAAAAGTATCTAGGTAAATTTATGTAACAAATATTTTTATGATTTTGACACTTTATAGACCATATAAAATTTCAGAATAATACATTTTTTGAAATTTCAAGGTAAAGTAAATGTAATATCACTTAAACTAATATTTCAAGTTGTCTAAAACTGTACACTACTGTGTTACATATACTGTAGTTCACACCACTGTGGTACACATACTGTAGTGTACACTACTGTGATACACATACTGTAGTCTACGCCACTGTGATACACGTACTGTAGTCTACGCCACTGTGATACACGTACTGTAGTATATAGTGTATGTTACTGTATGTGTACTACTCAGTAAAGAAGATACATGATGTTCTGGATGTTTAAATTTCTTAACTTCATATTTCTGTAACTTTGTAGTTGAGGCATGTAGGAAATACAATAATTTCTACTATCTACTAAAAAAGAAAAGTGAGAAATCTAAGATAAACATTATGAGATACCCTACCATTCCATTCATCATCTGATCTTCCTACAGGTGGCCAGTTTTTATTTTTTAGTTCTTCTTCTAATTTTTCAAAGGAATAAATTGGTCCTCGTAACCGTCGTATAAGTGGCATTACTTTTGCAAAAATTAACTCCTGAATAAAAAATTTCTGAAAAACAAGGAAAGTTGTTTCTGTTTTAAACTAACATGGACAGTTCTAACAGTAATATATATCACTATATCTAATAATACAAGAAATAAATGATTCTCTATAAAATTAATGATGTAAATATATATATAAGTTATCACCTGTATAATTGATCTAATAATAACAAACATAAGTAAGTAATCTTGTTGTGGATAGATTTAGTGATGATGCACATGTAAGAGGTAAGTTATCTTCTGTAGGACTGATCTAACAATAATTTATATCCTCATTTACATATAAATCTATAGAGAGAAATTCCTGAAATAGGCACCAAAATCCTTACAAAAAAAAAGAGTTGATTATAAAAGAGACTAACATACCCAACCTCATAAAAAAACTCAGCAAACCAGAAGATTTACTCATAAAGCCTGAGAAACAACACATGGTGAAGTAAAAAAAACTTGCACATACGGCTTGATTTCATGATACAGGAGACTTACATACACAATAAAGATACTCCTCGCTAAAGTATCACATACAATTTGAGAGAAAGATTCAATACTTACATGTATAGTTTGAAATTAGGTCTTGAAACGTATTTTGAGGAACAAAACTTGTTTAAACATGTACAGAGTCTAAGATAATCCAGTTTTGCATCACCAAGTGAGTGAATTAAACGTTGTACCTCTCACTTAACAAGTTAGTACTCTACTACTGAGGTAAAGCGTTATTCTAGTACCTATTAATGCATATTTTATTTTACCTGGTATCTCCCACTTAACAAGTTAGTACTCTACCAGCTGAACAAGCTCTTGAAGCACTTTAATAACTAAAACCGGCACAAGACCTACATGAACAACATTAGTTAAAGTTGCATGAAGGAAAATTATAATATTTATTCAACATTTTAATTAAAGTAGTTTTGCTCAACTATTGACAAGATATTTTTTTTTCTTTCACAGTACCTTTATTTATTTTTTATGGTTTCCAATTTTATCTTCTTTGAGTTGGAATTATTTGTCATTTATATTACTTTTTTTAGGCAATTAAATAAATTGATGATATGTTGAAGTAAAGGTATTATGTTTAAAAATTTAAATTTGTTGATAGTTGTATTCTATTTAATAAATACCTATGTATACAGTTTTTAAATTTATTTTCTGCACAGCTAATGGTTAACAGATACTTGGATGTTCTACTGGAGCTATTTCTTTCCCCTTCTGTATGTGAATGACATGACATTCTCTTGAAAATATCATGCTATGTGCTTATTTGAGAACATGTTCACTTTATATGTATATATACACTTTAAATAACCAAGGTTTTTTATCTTTGAAATGTGATAAAATAAGAGCAACAAACTTACCTCCCAAATGTAGCAGAAAATGAAATTAGCCAAAGAGAAAGCATACAACAAAAGATGGTAATCCAGGTAAGGGGCCAGTTTGAACTACATAAAGAAAAGAAATCAACAAAAACCTTTTATTTAGAGACTTTCTTGTATATAAACATTAACTGAGCAAATAACTTATACTAATACTATAAATTACATCAACTGTATATAGGCAATTAAATCAGCATTATATAACAATGATGAAAATTAGTACAGAAGCCAAAACTGATATGTGTATTATGAAATTTTAACCTACAACAGAAAGAGAACTGTCCTTTGGCCATCTTTGTCATTACACAGTAACTTGTAACAGAAAATATCTGTGGTCATAGCATCTAAAAGTGTTGGAGGCATTCCATCAGATATAATCCAAATGCAAATGGCAAACTAGGTAGTTGGAGACGGCTTGAATGGGTAATGAAGAAAAACTTTAATATAAGTTTAACATAACAGCAAATGTA